GTCATGTGTTCCCACACTTTTTAAAAGGTAAAAAACGGATATTCTTCAGGACGGTTTTATACTGGTAATCATATATATAATCGAGCTATTAAGAGGTGCATTAATATCCTTTTCAGGGCAGCAGCTTTTTATATCAGTTTTTTGCCTGTCATTTTATGCCTCACTGAATGCTCCGTCACTGAAACGGCTCTTAGTGTGATTAGAGAAGCTAAATGCACAAGCACAAAGAAGAATCTTACAAGAGATAATAGGAACATGACTTACTGTAACTCTGGTTGACTGTGCACTCTGCTGCACTTTCTTAGCTCTATGCAATCGACAAGGGTCAGAACATTGACTACCGTGACATTTAAATATTTATTTATTTATTTATTAATATTTAAACAAAGAATATGAATATATAATTAATTGGATAATTATCTGCTGCAATTACCTGAATATGAAAAGTGGGTGTGGCGCATTGGTTGTAGACCTTGGTTTTAGAGCTTAGAGTTTAGTATTATGGCCATCGTCATCTTGTTTTTTACAGAATTAACAAGATCAAAATACAGACAGCACCATGATCAGACATAGCCATGGTAGCATCTGGTCAATACACATTTTACAAAAAGAACATCATGCTTTCTTAAAGGACACTTTAAACTAGCGATTGAGACCGGTAAGTAATTTGGAACATTTACTGTAGCTTTAAATCTAGCGAGAAAAGTAATATTTGTATAGACTTCTATACAAAGTGCAGGTTTAAAGCACTTAAGAATTGGCTTGACTTTTCAAACCTTCTATTCGTGTCAAGAAAATCTATAATCCCAAATAACAACAATTACCCTTTTTTGCTTTGCTTTTTAAATTCCAGGTGTTGTGCATGCTTATTTACCACCAGTCTAACTCAGAAACTTTGAATAAAGAAAAGCCACCGCTAGTATTTCTAGTAACACGTGTACTTTTCTTTCGTTGACAAGTCCAATCGACTGCTGTGAAAAAGAGCACCTTGAACTGTATATGACTGTATTCTCTGCAAGGAGAGTCATTGCTGTTTGTTTTGATGTCGCCAACATTCTTAGGAGAACTATCAAACAAAAAGGTGTTTGCTCTAACTGCCTAATGACCTCACTTTTGTTCAAAATGCATGTGAGACATGTGTAGTTTCTAAGGTAATAGAAAGTTGGTGTTCTGGAAGGGGCTTAGCATAGGATCAATTCCCTTGGGATGCTCTCAAGAACTGTTTTACAATCAATAGTGTGTGTGTGTGTTTAAGTTTCCAACCCTGCTTCAAAGGTCCATCATACAAGATAGGGGATCTATAGGCAGCTGCTAATAATAACATCCATCATTATGGTTTACTAATTTTTGTCTTTTTGTCCTCTAGGTTGCACTGCCACGTCTACAGTAGCGCAGAATGGGCTGGGAAACATGATTGGGCCTCAACTCTTTTCCAGCCAATATACATTCTTCTACAAACTTGGGATAGGAGGGTGACTGAACAAGTTATCCATTGGTTGGAACCTACATCCCCATTGTTAGACGTACTAAATCCTGCACACTGCTCCTTCAAATGGACAATGTGAATATATGTCGCCATTTTGTAATTTCTGTTATTTTCAGTTGAGAATGTTTCAAAGTAATCTTAAAAAATTAAACTTACTTTTTGTTTCTACTGTTTATAAGTACATGTTTATACATTAAATGCTGTATTCATTAATGGTTGTATAATTCCACAAATATTTTTATATTTTAAGTTTTCAGAGTAATTGTTCCCTACAGAACATTTTGTGCTGTCATTTTATTGAACGTATTTAATTGGAAAATGTTAGAAAAAAGCTGTAAAATAACAGTATTCTCCCTGTAGAACTTTAGGTTCTGTATTTATTTTAATGTTTGATCATACAAATCTAATAAAAAAAAATTGTAAAAAACAGTTTTTATCATCAGAGCTTTATTTAAGGTATTTGAATGTAACATTTTAAGACAATGGATTTTGAAAAGAGAGGAAACATCTGTAACATTACAGATGTTTCCTTTCTTTTCAATTGTTTTTGCACTTTCTTCTGCCAGTCATTTGACCGTTTTTTAACGTTTTGTTTGCCCGTAGAAGTATTAGTGCTGTACTTTTATTAAAGGTTATTGATTTTAAAAAGAGAGGATTAATCTGTAAAATTACAGTATTTCCCCATAGAAGTTTTAGAGCTGTACTTTTATTAAAGGTTATTGACTGTAAAAACAGCAGATAAATCTGTAAAATTACAGTGTTTTCCTGTAAAATCTTTAAGTACAATTCCCGTAAATTAATTGCTTTTGCACTTTATTTCAGTTAAAGTATTTTACTTTAATTTAATGGTTTTTGTTTGGCAGCCGCTGCTGCCAAACAAAACCGTTTGACCGTTTTTTTACGATAATTTTTTTTTACAGTGCAGGCAGCATTTCAGAGGAAAAGGTACATTTTCAAGGTCAGGCTTTCAGAAGTGGAGAGCTGAGAATGAACGAGAGCAACAATCCTGTCAGTCCTGAAAACACCAATCCTGCAGCCCAACTTCAACCATTCATCAGATCAAAGAGCAGGAGCATTTATTCCAGAAAAGTGATCCTTGTTATTCATGGTGCAGAAATAGACAACAGATAGTGACACAAACATCTCACAAAGCTTCCCTTACAGGTTTTCATTTCCTGTTGTTTTCCATCGATGTTTTCAGTAAACATCGATGATCAATTACTAGTTACATGTAAAACATTAGAGAATCCAAACAAAAACCTGTTTGTTGTTATACACCGCTGACTAAGCAGTTATAAATGGATTTTAAAATGTGGTTCCCTGATAAGAAACAGAGTGAAGTACAATTCTAAAACGATGGTGCAGAAATGACAAACAAATCCAGTCATTATACATTTCCCTTAATAACTTATTAAGGAAAAACAATATAGCCAGAAATGTAATTGGATGGACGGAGACACTGTCTGTTTTATTTTGTACTTACCTTTCCTTCTCGTTTCAAAGCCCTTTACTTCCTGTCATTGGTGTGTTTTCCCGCCTGTGAGATTGTCAGCCCCTCCCTTGATTGTTGCCACCTGTGTCCCCTTACCTCTTGTATATAGTCCTCGTCTCCCTTTGTCCTGTGCCAGTTTGTCTTGTTCGATGATATGCTAAGAAAGCCAGCATTATTCATGACAGGAACCTTTTGTTGTGTTTTTTTCCAGAGACAAGTTTGTTTTGTCTTTTTTTTTTGCATTTTGCCTTTGCCACGTTGAGTTTTCAAATAAATAATTTTTGTTTTTTACCTTTGTCTCGAATCGTTGCATTTGAGTCCAAGTATTTCTGTCACGTCCCTGACAAGAATGTAATATTCTTGTTAATATTCTTCGTCTTGTTCTTCTTTTTTTTTTATACATCTAAAGCAGCAGCAAACCCTTGCAGGGTTGAGCTCCCTGTTGGACCTGGAAAGTGAACTCAACGCATTCACTCTCTACAAAATGACTTATAGGTCACTTGATTTATTATTTCAGTAAACATTGTAAACATCAGTTTATGGCCTCAACTGCTACTTTCAAGTTTCCTTTAATACAGTTTGATGTTCATTTTGTAAATGACGGCCCATCAACAATAAATGGATGACAACGCAAGGCCCAGTTCCAGTCCACTCTAACTTGACCATACCTTTGAGTCACATCAACATTCATCTTAATTCAAGTTTATTAACCATAACTGCAGTCTTCCACAATTCTTTATACCTCCACAGTTATAACAGCTGTGGAGTTTAGTACGGAGCCCCCTAGGGGACATGGAGAAGAAAAAAAAAAAAGTTTTGCGAGATCTCGCAAAACTTTTAATTTAGCTCAATGTACTTCCTGGTCAGTTCGGCAACACAGAAACCACAACAATGGAGCGGTTCATCGATTTTTACTTTGAGCTTGGCCTAAAATATAAAGATATAACATCAGTGCTTGGCAATAGGCATGGGTTTCACATACTGTAAGTGAAAGACACCTCAAGAGAACACTCAGAGTGAGGGGACATGCACGTCGCAAAGCATACTCTGAGCTGAGTTATTGACAGATTCGAATTTTGCGGATCAATAACTCATGAACATAATGTTGTAAAAATACAAACAACATGACTTTACAATCATAGCAAGGTAGACAATGAGCTACAGAGTCGTTTTTATCAGTACAGTTCGATATGCGCCGTCATCCGAGCTTCACATCAAGAATTGGTCACAATGTGCAGCTGGAGGAGAGAGGACTGCTTAGGGACCGTCTACAAACTGCAACGCCGAAAATATTTACTCATAGAAAAATTCAATAACTTCATTTTTTTAAGATGTAGTGCTACCAAAATCTCGTAACACATCAATGGTTATGTTGTTGTTACAGTATAACACTTATTTTGAATACATATTGCTTTTAAATATTGGTCAGGCTTTTTTATTTCAAACTATTTTAAATTATTTTGACATTTTACAATGTAGTGCAACCAAACCCCTTTCACACATCACTAGTACATTGCTGCTCATACTACATCAGGGTTGTCCAAACTACAGCCCTGTTCTGATAAAAACGACTCTGTAGCTCGTTGTCTACCTTGCTATGATTGTAAAGTCATGTTGTTCATGAGTTATTGACGTGCATGTCCCCTCGCTCTGAGTGTTCCCTTGAGGTGTCTTTCACTTATGTGAAACCCTTGCCTATTGCCAAGCACTGATGTTATATCTTTATATTTTAGGCCAAGCTCAAAGTAAAAATCGATGAACCGCTCCATTGTTGTGGTTTCTGTGTTGCCGAACAGACCCGGAAGTACATTGAGCTAAATGAAAAGTTTTGCAAAACATATATTTAGTTTTTTTCAACCAATTTTTGTCCCCTAGGGGGCTCCGTAGTTTAGAGGTTGCAGATATTGCAGGAAAAAAATATTGAGAAAATGTGTGCAATAGCAGAACCAACCACATGCTACAACTTCCTACAGTTATTTGCAGTGTCAGCAGCTGTTTTTATTCAGCTCTGTGACAACTTACCACTGATCCACTTGGCATCAGGATCATGTAACTGGAAGTCTCTTTGAAACAGGTCATCCAGTGTCAGCTCTGAACCAAAAGGTTTACCAGCATCATCTACAGGAGAAAAAAAATAATAGTATAAACAATGAATTATCCCTAAAAATAAAAAAAGGCGGAGCTCACAAGGCCCCCGGAGCAGACAGTGTGAGGTGGATTTCCCGCTGTGTTTCCCTGGATGCTTGATATAGACCAAGTGCCATGCCAGCGGGACACCGCGGAGCTCAGGCTGAGCTCAGCAATGTCCCGCTAACATGGCACGCAGACCCCATGCAGCAACCAGGAAACGACACCAGTAATCCTCCTCACACTGTCCGCTCCTCGAGCCCCACAGGGCGACCAGCGAGACCCGCAACGTCCTGCCAACACGGCACCCAGACCCCACGCAGCATTCTCATCTGTTTGTCATTACTGGTGTCATTTTCTGGTTGCTATCAAATGCCATTGTAAAACATAAACACTGATGTTTAGCTGTGGTTGACTAATCAGAACAGAGTGGGCGAGCTGACCAATCAGAGCACAGTGAGCTCATAGGGAGGGGGGGCAGGAGCTCCAACAAGGCGTGTAGGACAGAGAGTGAACACACATATTATACAGAGATGCTGTATGAGAAACCAATGTGAGTTTGGAACATTGAACAATGTAAATCTATTCTAGTAGACCTCAACAATGGAATTATGATCAGTAGAAATGGCCAAAACATGGGACCTTTAAGTTTTATATTAACGCTTAAAATGCAGCTACAAACGTTCTACAAAATCCCAAGCTATATCAAAAACACAGATGTTTTCAAATGTTTTTATATATAAGCACACACAAAATGACAAGTGATGAACAGTGAATGGATGAGGTAACATTTCTTAAGATACAGTGGAGGAAATAAGCATTTGATCCCCTTGCAAAACATGTGTTAGTACTTGGTGGAGAAACCCTTGTTGGACAGACAGAGGTCAGACGCTTCTTGTAGCTGGTCTCCAGGTTTGTGCACTTCTCAGGAAGGATTTTGGTCCACTCCTCTCTGAAGATCCTCTCCAAACCCTTAAGGTTTTGAGGCTGGTGCTTGGCATCTGGAAGCTTCAGCTCCCTCCACAGATTTTCTATGGGATTAAGGTCTGGAGACTGGCTAGGCCCCTCCATCACCTAAATGTTCTTCTTCTTTAGCTACTCCTGTGTTGCCCTGGCCTTATGTTCAGGATCATTTTCCAGCTGGAAGACCCATCAATTTTCAGTGTCCTGGCTGAGGGAAGGAGGCTATCGGCCAAGATGTTATGGTACATGGCCCCGTACATCCTCTCCTCGATGCAGGGAAGTGGTCCTGTCCCCCTCCTGTCAGCAGAGAAACAACCCCAAAGCATAATGTTTCCACCTCCGTGCTTGACGATGATGATCATCGCCAGACAGAGGGCGACTGATTGTCATTTTCTTTTTCTTCCATTTAGAAACACACACATTATTCTTCTGAATAATGGCACCAACAGTTGTCTCCTTCTCACCAAGCTGCTTTCTGATGGTCTTGTAGCCAATGCCAGCCTTGTGCAGGTCTACAGTCTTGTCCCTGAGGTCCTTAGACAGCTCTTTAGTCTTGCCCATGGTGGAGAAGTTGGAATCTGATTGATTGATTATGTGGACAGGTGTTTTTTATACAGGTAACAAGTTGATATTAGGAGTACTTTTTTAAAGGAAAAGGACTCATATAACCGGTCTGTGGGAGCCAGAATCCTTGTTTGTTGCAAGGGGATCAAATACTTATTTCCCACAGTTAAATGCAAATAAATGTTTATCTTTTATATAATGTCAATTTCTGGATTTTCTTTTTGATATTCTTACTTTCACTGTTTATATAAACCTACCATTACAATTATAGACTGTCAATTTATTTGTAAGTGGGCAAACTTACAAAATCTGCAGGGGATCAAATACTTATTTCCTCCACTGTAAGTAGCTCTACTGCAAATGGCCAAAGCTTAATTTTGACTGGAATAAAAAGCTTTTTGCTCTGCACTGTGAGTGATGGGTGTGCAGGGAGCCTCACCATTAGACAGCAGAACGATGGAGAGCCCGATGAGAGAGAGCACCCCCGCGATGACCAGCAGAGAGATCCCGATGCCCTTCCAGTTCTTATCTGACCCGATCGGCCCTGTGTCCTACACAGCAAGGGGAACAAAGCATGTCAATACTGTTGAATCATATATTAATAATGCAAAAATACAAAATAATGCATTTGGAGGGTTTTAACCTGTTAAACCCCAAACCTGTTTTTCAGGTCTCAGACTCGAAAATGACGTGCCCAGAACAAATGACTATATCTTCACTTCTAAAAGGGGTAAATTAATAATCTTTTTTCTCAAAGCAATGATAAACCTGTGACTTGGATGTAGACAAGTTAGAATCAATATAGATGTTTTTATTTTAAAGTAAATTCAGATTGAACATAGTAAAAAAATGTAAATTATAGTTTCCGTCTAAAGAAAAACCATTACTTATAGTGAAAACCACCCTTGCATGATGGGATAGTAGACTAAAAGCATTAGGAATCCAAACTATAACATATACCCTGTATCAAGATTGATGCAAAACAAGTTAAATTTGACCTTTTTAGAGAGGTTTAGAAGAAAAATAACCACCTCTGGGGTCATTTGGGTGTATTTGTTTGTTTGTAGCCTTTATTTAACCAGGTGAAAAATCCCATTGAGATCAACGATCTCTTTTTCAAGGGAGACCTACGGTATATTGGTTACACATAAAAACAACAGAAAACAAAAAGGACATCGCAACATAATTACAGGGGTATAAATTAGCAACCTATTCACAATGACAGGTATCTAATAACATTTAATCCAGCCGTGCTTTAAAATGATGCAAGGGAATCAAAATGCTCAGTTTCAATTTTTTTTGCATAGTGTTCCAAGCTAGAGGAGCAGCGCACATAAAAGCTTTAGTACCTAAAACAGTCCTAGCACTTGGCACATGTAATAAGAACACATCCTGGGATCTCAGGCAATAGCTACTTGCCACTCTCTGTGAGATCAAAGAGCAGATATAAGTCGGTAGTTTACCCAGCATGGCTTTATAGATGAATATGTACCAATGACTGAGCCTCCGTACAGTAAGTGAAGGAAGACCTGCCTTGGCATACAGGGTACAGTGATGAGTAAGTGCTTTACAGTTAGTAACAAATCTCAGAGCACTGTGATAGGCGGCATCTAACCTTTCCAGGCAATGGGCAGGTGCATTCATATATATCAAATCACCATAGTCCAGCACAGGTCAAAAGGTCACAGTGACTAGCCTTTTCCTGGCTTCAAAAGAGAAACAGGACTTGTTTCTAAAAAAGAAACCTAGTCTAACCCTCAGCTTTTTAAGCAGGTTATTGACCTGAAGTTTAAAAGTAAGACAATCATCACACAACAGGTAACCACTTCGAGTACTTGTCCTTGCATAGTAACAATATCCAAAGCAGTCTCTGGAGTCTTTTTAGCTTTAGAAAAGAGCATTACCTTGGTTTTCTCAACATTTAAAAGAAGCTTAAGCTCAACGAGCTGAGTCTGAATAATGTTAAAAACAGCCTGTAATTTAACAACCGCCTCCTTAATGGAGGGACCTGCACAGTACATCACGGTATCATCCGCATAAAAATGTAAAGTAGCTTCATCCACATTTTCACCTAAACTATTGATGTAGATGGAGAATAAAAGTGGACCTAAAACAGAACCTTGAGGAACACCATTAGCAATGTTCAACCACTCAGAAGACAGCCCATCAAAGTGAACACATTGGGACCTTTCAGAGAGGTAGTTCACAAACCACCCCACTGCATGGCTGGATATGCCAATACTGAGTAGCCTCTGCTTTAAGATGCGATGATCGACGGTGTCAAACGCTTTTGAAAGGTCAATAAATAGAGCTGCACAACTCTGCTTTTTATCTAAAATACTTGTAATGTCATTCACCACTTTCATTGTGGCAGTGATGGTGCTATGTTGCTTTCTGAAGCCTGACTGATGTTTAGACAGGATGTCATTTTACATAAAAACTCCTTTACTTGTTCACTCACTAGGCGTTCAAGAACCTTAGCCAGAACTGACAATTTAGAGATTGGCCTATAGTTATTTAAAATAGTTGCCTCCCCTCCTTTTAGTAGAGGCAGGACATACGCTGACTTCCATACTTTTGGAATTGCATTTGTGCTGAGGGAGAGGTTAAAAAGAGAAGTAAGAGGTGGAGCAATAAAATCTGCAGCTATCTTTAAAAAGAAAGGTTCTATGTTGTCCGGGCCAGCCGGTTTCTTAGGATCTAACTTAGATAATGTTTCATGAACAACATTTACAGTAAAAGGAGAAAAACTGAAAGGGTTTTCCAAACCACATTGTTCAGAGTCACAGACTGTGGTGATCACAGAAGCAGAGTTAGTTACAGAATCAAACATAGAACCGCAGGACACAGAGTGCTCATTAAAACAATTTAACATGGTGGCCCTGTCCGATATAGAGCCAGATGATGTGGTAAGGCACGGAGGTAGCTCATTTCGGATCTCCCCGGTGGATATCGATTTTATGGCTTTCCAAAATTTCCTAGGATTATTTAGGTTTTCTGTGGTAACTGACAAATAGTACTTCGACTTAGCACTTTTGACATGTGAAGTGAAGCTATTCCTTAGTTGCCTAAAACGCAGCCATTCTACCTCTGAGCCTGATTTCCTAGCCTTTGCCCAGGCCTTGTTTCTCTCATGCAGGAGACTGGACAGTTCAGCAGAAAACCAAGGATTGTCTCGTCCCTTTACTCTAAATTTACGGGTGCATGTCTATCAATGATCTCCATAAAACCAAGATAAAAATAAGACCATGCAGTTTCTACATCAGCACACAGATCGATTTTTCCCCAATCAAACCCAAACAGATCATGAACAAAGCCCTGCTCCACAAAATGTTTTATGTCTCTCTTAATTATAATACAAGCTTTAACCTTTTGGACCTTAGTGTCCCTAATTATGGCTACAGCACAGTGGTCACTCACATCATTCGCAAATACTCCCACAGATGGGTATTTATAGGGAACATTAGTTAGAATTAGATAAATTAGGGAGGAATTATTAGGGGACTTAAAGTGGACCTATCATGCTATATTTAAATGATATATTGTAGGGCCATACCTATATAAGGTATATTTATACGTTTCTGTTTTCAAAATACCAAACAGATCATGATTTTAAGCCATGCCTCATTTCGCTCTATGTGCTGTTTGCTGTCTACGGGTCTGATTCTGCTGACCACGCCCCCCTGCAGGAGAGGGGAGACGTGCTCTGATCAGCTGCTGGGCTGTCAGAAGAGGGGGAGAAAAAGAGATCTCCGTCCTCCGTGTTTTATTATATAGAGTCGTTATTCATTTGTTTTAAAGCTCAATAAATAACAAAGAAGACCTTTGACCGGCACTTTTCTAATTTTGTCCGGAAGATTTCAACTTTAACGGACATCTTGACCCGCGAAAGAAACTGAAACTGAAACTCTGCCGCACGGTCCCCTCGTTCCTTGGAAGAGGCGGAGAGGTGGGTGTTTGTCATCTGCTGGTGGACTAACCGGAGAGAATTACAGTGCTTGCTTCGACGGGGAGGGATTGCATTGAATTAAAGCAGCAGGAGCAAACGCTTGCATCGGGGAGGGAGAAAAAAAGCCACAGCGGAGAATAAACAGAAGGGTAACCATGGTAACTATGGGCGCGAAGTCTTCTTCGCTGCTTTTGTGGCAGACTACAACGCCACTTACAGGCCTGGCATATGTACTACAGCGTCTCCAGCGCTTTCGAACGGCAATGGCCGTGGCTGTCTCCTCCTGATTGGTGGAGTTGGCCCAATAGCCGTAGCGCCACCGTCCTGATGTCAGGACAGTGTTCAAATCTGGATCAGTTTTTTATCAGATCCGTTGCAGCCCCTTTTTTAGAGATTTGGGTATGGAGGAAAATAGAGAGGGTTGTGTTTTCTGACACTTGGTGAGTTCCCTGGAACACCGGGGACACATATTCATGTATAAAGGACGTACAAAAGTGCATTTTGCATGATAGGTCCCCTTTAATGTTAGGACAGTTAGGACTGTCAACAATCTGAGTAACATTCAAAGAGATACAAAGGTTTTTTAAATCCTCTGATACTGCAGTTAACCAGTCCCAGTTAAAAAGTAGCACTATTTCCTTATAGTCTAGTTGCGATAAAAGATTTGCTAGTGAAGACAAGGAGTCCTTGACAGCTGAGGGGGGTCTGTAACAGCCCACCACCATGACCAGTTGACCCTTTGCCACTTCTATATTTAAGGCTAAAAATTCAAATTGCTTACTGATAGATTTGGAAACCAATGCGGTTACACTGAACTTATTCTTAACATAAATGGCAACGCCACCACCTTTATTAGGCCGGTCGGAACGATACACATTATAACCATTTAAGGATATGTCAGAGGCCAAAATAGTTTTATTTAGCCATGTTTCCGATAACACAATGACGTCAGCGTCAGTCGAGCTTGCCCAAATGCGGACAAAATCTAGTTTACCTAACAGACTGCGCACATTCAAGTGGATGAAACCCAACCCAGACCTAGCTTTAAAATCAGCAGGAGTAGCGATCTGACTACTACTACTGGGCGGACCAGGGTTAGGTTGTACATTTCCTGACAGTAATAACAACAACAAAACCAGGCATCTTTTCCTCTTAAACGACACACATACATTGTCATCTACTTTAGAATCACTGGAAAAGTCTGCGAGAGTGTGATTAGAGTTTAAGAAGCAGTCCTGAAGAACCATCATCGCAGGCAAACAAAAAAGACAAACATATTTTGTCGAGCAGATTGTCTGTGACAAGGCAACCGGTAATTGTTTGTGTAACACATCCGACCCTTTGCAGGGGATGCCCACTGCGGGTGGCAGAACAGACCTGAATCCAGTAGACTTCTCAGAATGACTAGAGATCTTCTTATAGTCCAAAACAGTTAACAGGCACAGCAGAATCACAATATGGGCCATTTTCCCAGACCAGCATACAGTATCCGCGATGTTCCTGGGGCAAAAAATCCTCCTCCTCACAGCAGCAAAGGACAGGCGAAAGCAGCAGCGTGGAAGCGCTCCGGTCTCTCCGTGGTATCCCCGGGGTAAAAGGTCT